GGGTCTGGGATGGTTCAAGCGATCAAACCTCCCAATGATTACTTTTTAGTTTCTCCAATTTAGCAATGGGATCAGTTTGGGGGGGGGTCCAGTTTTGGGGGTCCGTCGGGGGTCTGGGTGAGGGAGAGTGGGGTCAACCCAAAACCTTGAACCCTATACATCCTTATATATGCCTTTGCAGGATCCGTTTGTAACCTACTTACTGAGCTTCACGGGCCTTAAGGTACCTTCTTATTCACCCAGGACCCAGTCCTGTAGCCACAGGAGCTCCGTCAAGTTGCATCTGAACCAAGTCTTCGTTGAATTTGTTACATCCAGCCCGATTCTCTAGACTCCAACGACACAACACCGTGTCAGACACACGTCTGCCCATTGACCCTCCCCCTCCTGAAAATGTAGACCTAGACCCCCGGTATCAATGTGAGCCAGGTTCTTTTATTCCGGCTGCAGATTATACTCGTAATATGCTATAATATACCACAATATACTACAACATGCTATAATGTACTATAACACTTTCTGTAAGATGATAGGCCCCGCACATAGGCCTTCTTGTTTTGGGGAACATACTCTCTGCTGATTTGGGCAAGGCCCCAGGACCAAAGCAGCGCACTCAAGATCCGGAACCCTGGACTTACAGTTCCCAGTAGGGGAGAAGGGAATATAATCCCTTCATAAATATGTGCATATACATATATATATATATACATATGGGGGCTTCCCATAACCATATATATATATATATACACATCCCCTGCTTCCCTACTAGCCTTAGGAAGTAGACTGGTGTGCAAGTCATGATCAGGCGCGAGCTAGCCTGTCAGAAGCAAAGCCTTAGCATTAAATGCCGGACCTCAATGCACCAATCTCGAACCTTTCAATGAGCTGGAGTCCAAACTCCTTCAAGGGGGTTATATATATAGGGGATTCAGGGTTTAGAGTCCAAACTCCTTATCAGGGTTTATATAGGGGATCCTATAGGGGAGTATTATAGGGGTTATTAAGGGGGATACTAGGAGTGTAGACTCTAGACTAAACCTCAAATGAACATCTGAGACCTAAATCCTAGAGTCCTAAAGCTCTCAAACCAAACCCAACCTTAAACCCTAAACCCCCTTTTCCCCCAGTTCCCTTGGCTCAAGATTCCCAAGCTGTGCCTGCCCCCTGTCCCAGCCGTCATGTCCTGGAGCCGTTACAACCGAACGGAGCATCTCAGACTTGCATGTCTTAGTGGGGGTTAGTTGGGAATAAGGGAATATGTTCTATAAGGGTTATATAGGGTTTATACTCCCTTGTTGGGGTTAGTGGGGGTTAGTGGGGAATAAGGGAATATGTTATATAGGGATTATATTCCTTTATTGGGGGGTTAGTGGGGGAATAAGGGAGTATGTTAAACAGGGATTGTATTCCCTCATTCCATACAGGGATTATCTTCCCTTATTCTCTACTAACCACCAGTGAGCTTTGGGTAGTGCAGGATAGAAGAATGCTTTTAGGGTCTTTTACACCATGCTTGTATGCCCCAAAGAACCCAGTAGAATTGCCAAGACCATCGGGTGAACTTTGATTTTGGGTGTGGGATCGGTTGATATTTGATTTGGATTCTTATTTGGACTCGCACAAAAGGAGCTAAGTGGGAGGGTCTAGCTAAGTCTAAACTCTTGGCCAGGTACGTGGTAGTTTCCATGAATAGGGGGCCCCCAACATAGGCCCATAGATATTACAGCCCTTCTGACTGAGACCCCTAATTTTGGGAAACCCTACACCCTAAACCCTACATATCCCTATAGGACCTCTTTAAAGAGTACCCCTAATCATGGGAATCCCCCGGGTTCACATAGTAGCAGAACATTGGGGCTGCCTCTTAAAGATCGTAGTGGTCCAGTCCAGTAGTCCACCCTTTGGACCCAGAAGCCTGACGCTGAGGGTCCGCTATAACAAGCGTAGGCATCCGTATGCTGGTACTCCTGTTTCCGGTTTTGGGGAGTATATTATGTCTATCTATACTGAACCCTGAGGACGTATGGTTGCTGATAATGTTCCTTATATGGTCCGCACGTAGCTAACTTATTGTGCTGCTCCAGATCCTGTGGCAATTGTTTCGACAACCCACAAACCCGAAATCCAAGACCCAAATCCCAAAGCCCTAAATCTTAAACAGGCCCTACTTTCTAAATCCCGCACCGTAAGTCCTCAGCCCCACACCCCACATCCTAAAACCCCAAGCCCTCACCTCGGGACCCCGCTTAGCCAACCACGTCTCCCAAAATTCCCGCTTGAGCACCAGAACCCTATTGCAGGGATAGTATAGGGATTATGTAGGATTATATAGGGATAATGGAAAATAAGCTGGAAACTACTGTGTAGACCCCTCAAAATACAATAGTAATAGGGGGACCGCAATACAAGAATCATTCAGAATCAAATGGAAGATGAAATGGAAGCTGCTCTACATAGGGTTTGGGGGTTTTCGGTTAGCTTCGATTTTTCCTTTTCCACTCCACTTAATCTAATGGCCCAAGCATGGGCCGCTCTACCCGTTTCCTGGGCCGTAACTACATGTCCTCAAGTGGGTTCCTCGGGGCTTACAGAGTTTGTAGGTAAATAAGGACCCCAAGAGTAAGGGCACATACTATAGGCGGATAGTTCCAACCATAAGCCCTAAACCCTAACCCCAAAACAAACGAACCCTTCAGCCCTAAATCCTAAACTCTACCTAGACCCCCCGATACCCTATGCAGAGCCCAAATATCCACAATGGCGCTTACATAGATCACATTGAAGGATGCTTGCAGAAGTCTCACACTTGAGACCTTGGACGGTCTAGGCTTTAGGGTTAAGGGTGTAGACTTCACCACCGGATCCTAGTAGAGAGGTTAAAGGTACAAATAGGGTTTAGGGTTCAGGATTTTGGGGTTTTGGGCTTGGGGTTTAGGGTAATTAATCATCATAATCCACTTATAATTGGTACTTGTAATCCAAGTAGAACCACATGAGGGGAATTAGGCAGCTTGTACTTGTAATAAGTACAGCTATAGTTGGTATGTAATTCTCCGAACGATAAATCCCAAACCCGATATATCCACGTAAACCCCTCTGAAAAGGGGCCCCATATAAAATTTCATAATTGGGTGGTAATTACATGGGACCCATCTGCTTTGAGAAATCCTGGAGTAAGGTACTAGATTATGATTATGTCCCCGCGATAAGCCCGTTCTACCCCTAGTGCAACCCCTTCTATATGCAGTTACCTAACCCCTTGGTAACCCTAAACCCTAAACCCAAAACCCAGTAACCCCCAGATTCCCACAAAGCGGAAGATGAGCCCAGGGGCGCTGCATGGCCCACATCTGCGCACGACTCAACGGCCCCCGTAACGCTTTTTTCGCGGCACCTTGGATGCTTTCACAGTGAAGGTTTCTGGGTTACTAGGAGTTTAGACTGTAACCCCTATAATCCTTTATATCTTCCCAGTTTCCATTTCACTTTCTATTTTCTTTTCCATTTGATTCTCCATTATTTGGTAATATCCCATATATTCTTGCAGGGGTCCATGGAGCCCAAAGTAGGTATTGTTCGTAGACTTGGATCCCTTGGGAAAGGTTTAGGCTTCAGATATTGGAGCTTTCGCCTCGGGATTCAAGGTTTTGGATTTAGGGTTACAGGGCTTTCAACAATTTGGGGTTCCAGTTTTTGCGGTGCGTATAGTGGGGATTATGTCGGGGACGTTCATTAGGTACCAGGCGGAACAACTAGTGAGGCTTTTAGGGCTTCAGACTTTCAAAGCTTGACGGGATTATATAATGTGAAAGATCCGCGGGAAGCACATTCTCTTGGATCCAGGTGTGGGGCTCCAGTGGGACCCATACCGTAGTCTCGAATATACATCAACTCACTTGCGCCTCTTTTCGGGTATAGCATGTGACATGAATAGCACCTTACTTGACCCAGCCACCAAAGCCAACTTCTCAGACTATAGTTTCTATACCGGGCGGGCCCGAAAATGGACCCAAGATTTGACAATCCTCATTAGTGGGATTCCCCCAGAAGTTGCTCCTAAACCCTGAGCCCAAACGATGAAATTCGTTTCAGTATGGAGGCCCCCTCTTGCTCTCCCACCCCCTTTATCTGAGGGAAGGGGGTGAATGTAGTATAGGCTGCTAATCTTGTGGGCTCTCTAACCATTAGGTTCATCCCTCGTTAGGGTCACCTGGCCTTGAGTGTCCCCAGCCTAGTTAAGGGCTTATATTACCCATTATAGCAGTTTCACTTTTCTTTTCCATTATCCCCATGTAACCCCAAAATAACCCCAGTTTTATCCCAATGATTCAGGGTGGGAGTTCCATTCCCAGGTTTGAGGCGGGGAGTCCAGGGGGGTGGGAGGGGCGGGGGGGGGTGGTAACATGGAGAGGGTGGTTAGAAAATCCATGTAGGAACATCAGCATCTCATGGGCCCTTAGAAAGAGAGTCATGCTAGCAATAATATAGTAGGAATCGTAATAGTAATAATAACAGTAGTAAGGAATGATATAGAAACAGCACAAGTACTTGTTTGTTCTATGTTCGTGCTTTGCGTCTAATGTAGCGGAGCTCGGCATGTGCTGTTTCCATGCAGGGAGCACTTGAGTACAGTAGAGGCCTATATATGTTCATTGACATTCTGGTTCTAGAGCCCTTGTATAATTGTGGTGAGGGTACCTCACATAGACCTCAACATGATGTCGGTAATTACTTGGCTACAAGATTTTGAGAGAGCCAGTCACACAGTCAGGAACTTCAGCCTTGTGTGCATCTATGTGGACATTCACCTAGTTCCCTAAGGCACAGGATTTCTTGTGCAAAGGCATCAGAACTGCGCAGCTATCAGGTTCCTTCACCAGCCATGCATGCGTGCTGCATTTTCACATGTGGCATTCACGGAAGCTGGGAACGAATGAAGCGGACACTTGTTTTTCGTTGGGGGGGTTCTGCTGCTTGCCCCTCCAAGCCCTGCAAATCAGGTATCCGTTGCAAGATATGGTGTACAACACGCTCGTCTATTCTCACATCTTGCTGACCTTCGTTTATTTGCCGCTGATCCTGTGGCAGTTCTATGCAAAAAGGGGCACTGAGAAGCACGCTGCTTTCTTGCTCTTACGAACTTGGTCTCAAGGTTTTCTGTTGGAGGTTACTCAGACCCTCCGAGTTATCATGTAGTTCCTTTTTGAGTAGTATATTAGTACCCAAAAAAATCAAAACAACCCAAAACTCCCAAAAAGGAACTACGTAGGAGTCCTGGGGTAGGGAGGAGAGATTTAGTTTGGGTACTCCCCTCACTCATTAAGACTTGGATAATGTTTATAATCGAACTATAAAGAGCCCTTAATATGACACCTATTATAGACTGTTAATGGGTGGGGGCAGGACCCAAGATTTAGCATTGAAGGCTTGGGAGGTGATACATGAACTGTTCAGGCTGTCAGGTGTAAGTATTTAGTATTCGGGGGGGTGGGGTGTTTAATCTTAGGGGGGCGGGATTATGGCCTCCAGTGTAACAGCCAGATCACCGCTAGGTGTCCGAGGCGCTAACGCCCATTTAGCTGAATCTTGGCTTCAACCAAGATTCCTTGCTTTCAGGGAACACTTTCGTTACGTAGCATGTACAACGTATGCGGCACAGTGCATTTTGAGGTGAAATTGGAAGGCCATGTTGGAAAGAATCGCCGTATGCCTGAAGCCTGCATACAGAGGTGACCGGTTAGCAGGGTAAGTAACTGTGGAGATGTTCACGCTACACACCCTTTCCGTAAGAAACCTGATGCTTCCAGCTTATTCATGCGGAACAAACTGCAAGGGGGAGCCCGCTAAGCCCAAACCTTAAACCCCGCGTTGCACACCCTGAGTTGAACCCTACCTGACCCCAAAAGTAGGTAAAATGATGGCCCAAAACCGCTTAAAGACAGCCCAAAAGGCAATCATTCTACAATTATTGGGGCGCCGGACGCCCATGCTCCTAAAATCAGAAGTTGAAACGTTGCATTCAGCACAGGTTCAGCGAGGAATTTGGTTGAAATTCCTGGCAGTGTGCCTTGCCCTGGTTGAATAACGTTTTGCTTGAACCCCACACCCTAGGTTCATCCAATTCTCGAAGTTGCATCATGAGAGATGCTTTGGTAGCGTGGGACTTTCGAAAAATGTTGGATCCTTCTTGGAGGCTTCTATATGGAATATAGGTATGTTTGCACAACGTTGACCCACCCACCCCTCATGTTGTTTGATTTCGGAGATGATGAACAGGTCATGTGAGAAAGCAATGGAAACCTCCCTAATGATTGCTGGTAAGGGAGTGGAGCAAAGCAATCCTATCATAGTACCTATATCGTATCTGATAAACGCACCAATATCCAATTCCTTCATTCCCGACTAACCAACTTAGATCCCAAACCCTCGACCTTAATCAATGCAGTAGCTTCTACTTGCTTTTTCTTCATGCCCTACTACCAGCGAGTTATCCAAAACCCTATACCCCTGAATCTGCAGCCCTTCATTCCGTACGCGTCTTTCAAGTGAGGCTGATGATTGGTGGCGGCTGGGCTCTTCAGATCCGCCATTCCTGGTTCAGCGATGCTCGTGTCTTCGAGAACCTCTGCTCGTTGGAGCTATACTGCGCGAACATTCCGTAAAGGGTAGGTACTCCGGGGAAGCGTACATAGGGAGAACTCAGAGGGATCCCCAAAACAAGACACACACACATGGGCCCTAATTAGAGATTTTCGGGGCCCATCCTGGAGCAGAATGGGGGCTCTAAGCTATATTTCAAATTTTGGTAGTATCCCTTAATAGGTAGCAAGAAGGCAGTTTATGGCCAGCCAATACTTAATTTAATACCTACATACGGGCCTAAAGCCTATAGATGGTTCCTACATTGGTTTATTTGGAGCTTCAGGGTAAAGGTCCATGTACTTGATAGTTTGGTAGAAATTCCTTACCCTGAGGGCCTAGCACAGGGCCTGGGGATAGTTACCAACATTGTGGTCCAAGATCCCTCATACGGTAATGATGTAGGACTACTCGCATACATATCAACATTGATATTCGCAAAAACATAGGCTCTACAGAGCCCAACGTAGATTGTTTGTATAGACTCCAGGACCCGAAGTAGGTGTTGACCCCAAGGATACTTGAAGGCTCAGCGGACGTAGCCAACCCAGACAAAGCTCCTACATGCCCAGCTTCCACCATTTAATGTTCGATTCTCCAAACAACCATGGTCTTGGAAGCCATGGTCCCCACCAAGGAAGCATCCGGTCCTGTTTGAGTTGCAGTTTGCCCGCAGCTTCATCAGTGCATTTGGCAGCTCCACTGTCATCAGCGCCCTCAACGTCTATCTGGTCGGAGTGACACTTTCACCGTTATATGGGACCCTAAGGGTCCAAGGACCCCAAATAATGGGGGTTTAGGGCCCAAATACCATTGATATTATAGTAGTTGGGCCCTAAAACCCTATTATTTGGGTCCTTGGACCCTTAGGGGGAGATTCTCCAAAATGGTGTCGGCTTTAGGGACTTTGCGTATGTATGTAGGGATTACAGGCGGGTCAAGCGGGTCCTTATGGGCACATTTTGTCAAGGAATGGAGGAAACAAACAAGCAAACTACTACATTCTGGGCAATCATAATTCCTCCTTCCCTACGAGCAACCAGTAAGTTGGATGTGGATGAGTCAACATCCTGAGTTGTGTTTGGAAACTAAAGCATGGGCCCACATATGTTTTGGTGCCTAGATGGACTTCGACTTTCACAAATGGCGCGAAGCCGAATATATTTTTCCCGTAAGAGATCTTATATGTTGGGGGACCTACCTAATTTTAGGGGGGTGGGTGAGGGTGTGTTCCATATTAGTACCCAAGGAATTCACGTTACAAAGGTTCAAAGACCTATATACCGGATCCGGCCCAGGGACTCCCCCAAAAAATGCAGGCGATGTATATACTCTTTCGGTGCTTGGACCCGTAGGTTGGCTACCCAGAGTGCTTGAGGCACCTAAACCCTAAATCCCCACACTGTTGACCCGAAACTTAAACCTCAAACTCTAGACCCAAACTGTTGAGACAAAGGAAAAAGGATGCACGGAAGATGTCTTTGAACAGTCCTTCGTACTTCCTGGTCCTGGCGGCTACCCTGGCGGCTTTGCTGATTCAGTACATCGTGGATTGACTGTGGATTGGCTCGGCCTTATCTTACTTGTCTTCGGAAAAGCAAATTCGTCGGCGCTACACAGCGAATCCTGAACCCCAAATCCTAAACTTTGCATCGCAATTCCTGATGCCAAATTCTAGGCTGTTTCCCAAGGCTTTTCTGCTCTCCATCCTGAACCTTGAAGCCCAGGCCCCGAATCCCTAGAGCCGGTGAGTCAACAGGTTTCCTGGCTCTTTCCTGAGGCATCTCTTCTCATCATCTCTAACTGCATTATCTACATCACGCGGGAGCTGATGAAACTTCCAGCATGGAGCTCATACCACTGGGAGCTTGGGCGAGAGCTTGTGGTTTGTAATAGGAGCAATAGCAACCTCTACCATAACGACCTAAGAAGAGTTATGTGATAGTCATGCGATAGTCATACGGTCCTTTTAGGGTTGGGATAGCCAAAATTCTGGCCTGACTCCTAATCCCTAAATAGTAGCTCCCAGCTCCTTTTCCGTTATCTCAAATCTGAAAATAGTAGCTTCCATTTTCTTATCCATTATCCAAGATATTCAAAAAGTAGTTTCCATTTCTTTCTCCCCGTAAACCATACACATAGATATATCCCTATATTGCGATGATGTACCACATTTATACGCATCCCGCATCCCTATATAACCTCTATATACCCCACTGTGATTGAGTTTGGGATGAGGGAGGAGGGACCAAACTTGTTTACGCCTCTAAGCCTTGAATCCTAAACCTTAAATCCTAAATCCTAAGCCTTGAGCCCAGGATTAAGGTCCCTGGGCTTTACTGGTCCGAGTCCAGGGTTTCAGTTTCGGTGTTGGGCATTTCAGTTTTTCTCTCTTACCCTGGGCATCTAAGCTGTAAACAGCAGATCCTGTTACTTTGGGCCTCAAGTCCATTGAATGTAACCATTTCGAGCGATTTAGATGCTTGGAGTTAGAATCTAGAAGAGGTGCTGTCTGGGGTTTATCATAACTTTCTGCGTTGAGTCCGGCTTACTTCAAAGTTGATCCTCAGCCCTCCGCAAATTGTGCTTGTCTTGGTCCATCTATAGCCTTATAAGGCTGATAGAGTTCAGGGTTCCTGTACTTCAATCTACACCCCAGGGTTTGTGCCACCCTGTAAATTCAGAAGTATTCACCTTTGCTCCATAATGAACGTACCACCATTTCCCACCTAATAATAAGGATATTGGACGGAGTACAAATTTCTCGGGCAATTCAGACCTTACCCAGTCCAATCACGTTTGGGAGACAGGGCCAGTGTATGGAGCTTCAAAAACATATCTTTGTTTGGACGAGCACACATGCCGGGTACAAGAGGCAGGTCCCCATTGTAGCCACAAACGCTTCAGGATCATGAGCTTTTTTTGGGCCATCCCAACTCCCGAAACGCTTCTTACAGGATATCTTGCGGAAGACGTCAAGCATTACATGCCTAAGCCACAACCCTTAAGAGAGGAGATGTTGTGGGAGATGTCCGTTATCGGGTCCGTTTTTCCTCTCTACGACGGCATGAACCTCTATGCATTGCTGATGTGGCAGCGAAACTATGCTCAATAAGGGTCTCGAAGTCGAAAAGGATTGAAGACGACTGCATTGGTTAGGGTTCAGAAATGGAAGGTTCACTCCCCACTCGGGAAGTCGAATAGATTCGTGGCAGCATCTTTCGTGGGACAAGGCTGCTTTCAAGACAACCCAAGGCACCCAAATCCAAATAACCCAGAGTAGGTACTATTGGTCAATTTCATGGCCAAAAGCTCAGTTTTGCTTGAGTTGAAGCTGGACTGAAGCACAGAAGTCCGATCTTCATTAGGTCCATGTAGCTGTCTGGCACTCTGTTTTCCAGACTTTAAACTTTAAACCCAAAAGAGCTCAAGCCTAAGGAGGGCGCAAAACCCGAGAGTCCTAGATTCAGGAGTTACTGCGTTTAGCGTTTTGGGGTTCAAGATTCATTCAGGTTTAGGTTGTCGAACCCCGAGAGCAAGAAAGGAACCGGCGCATTGAACTACGCCGCGCGCTTGGATGTTACGCTCACTGGTAATCTATATCAACCAGATCCCTGCGTGGCTGGGAGATTTGAGGGCTGCAGAGGTTTCCATGACTTCAGCAAGTAGCAGCCTGGGTGAAAGGCGATCAGAGTGTCCTCCTCAAACTTCTTTACGCAGCTTCCAGTACTCGTCCTAGTGTTCAACGTTGAGTATGTTTGTGAAGATGTGCCAAAAGTGGGCTCCCCCTAGCAACCCAAGGGATATATCTGGATTACAAGAGAATGTTGGGGGGGTCCTTGATAGAAGGATTGTTTGGAGAAATACCCATATGAGCTATAGTCTTAACTCCTAGTACCCCCTAAATGATCACTATAGTACTCCCCTGTATAATCCACTATACAATCCCCTATGAAACCCCATGAAGGACTTTTAGACTATAGCTCGTATGGTTCCGGCCTTTCTAGGGACTTTTGCGAGTGTTTGATGCCTGGGCAGCAACGTGGTCAAAGCGACAACGATTTGGACGACCTACCCTGTAGGGTTCTCCAAAATTTCAGAAATCCCAAGGTCAGGTTCGAGATCTGAGAGTCCCCAGACGCGGGACATTAACCCCTGACCTAACAACCCTAAATTGTATGCCCCAGCCCCACCTAAACTCCAAACCCTAAGCCTGAAACCCTGAGTCCTAGACCCCTAAACCCTACTTGGAGGGTCAGGGGAGCTCAGTAAGCAAGTTAATGATGGGGACATCTGGGCTCATTGCATGCATAAGTATACTTTCTGCACCCCTGGCCATCCAGGTTTTCCCCCCGCCTTACGCCCCAACCCTGACTCCTTACCCCGCAGCAGTGTCTAGGGTTTAGGTTGAGCATCACGTCATGAATGCCGCATGGACAACGAGCAAGAATCTTGGCAAGTGACAGATTGTGTTGGTTTCGGGTTTAAGGATTTTGGGGTTTAGGCTCATGTCAGGATGTTTAAATTCTTCCTGGAGTAATCTTAAGGGCAGGCAGCGATGCAGGAAACCTAGTGAAATTTGTGCCGAACTAGAGAGCCAGGCCCCGGTTGGAGTAATCCTATACCCGTAAACGAACGCCCAGATACAAAATGTCAGGGATAACGCGGTTGTTTTCTTAGAAGCTGTTGTACAGCATACCCCCCCAAAGCGCCAAACCATGCCCTGGAAACCCTTATTTACTCCTACGTGAGTAAGTCGGTTGGCACTAATGGGGGGTTCTGATCCCATGGAAAAGTTGTTTGAAGGGGGCCTGCACCGTCCCAAGACTACTTTTCATTTGACCGCCCGGGTTTCTTGGTCTCATAGCGATTCAGAAGAAGATCTATGAACGTCGAGGGTCTCGGAGTTGAAGCAGTGTTTCGAAGTCGCCCGACACCCCGAACCTTGAAGTCCCGCAGGGTTCAACTGGCACAGGAGCTTCAGAAATTGCCAAGACTATGGTTCTAGATTCCATGTGAAAGTACGGATTGGGGTACCTCAAATGGACCTTGGTAATTATTGAGGAACCTACGTATGGTATCTGATCCTCACACAAGCTACTGTCAATTTCATGGCCATTTTGTTGAGGCCGTACTCCGAACGAGTAGTGTTAGTTGTGGGTATTGAGGTCCCCAATATAGAGCAAGATGATGTCCTCGTTTTCGGTATAGTACTTTGTATCAGAATGTGAACATGAAGAAGGAGCATACCACCTCCAAATTCCCACCGTCTTCACCAGCGGCGACCGATAAACTTCACCCCAGTCTTGCTACAGTGTTGTTTTGACATGGAGCTCTCCAAAAGAAAGGGGTCCTATGGTACCCTATTATGTGAAGAAATAAGCCCTCTAATGCGGCACTGCTGCTTGGATACATGGGCCAACCTTTGACCAAGGACCATCGCCGCCCCACTGATCTTCGCTGCCCACGATGCTGGGCCAACATAAAGGGACTCTGGCCCCAGCCTCTTCATGGGCAAAATTGCGCAAGGTGTGATGCATGGACTGTATATGGGTGGTTGTCCAAATTATGGTCCCTTTTTGGATCCTTATTATAATACGACACCTAATATTCAGGTACCCAAAGAGGGACCATAATTTGAACAACCACCCATATGGCTGCATACAGGGATAATACAAGACTGCTGAAGTCCATGTGGGGAGCGACCAGGCTGGACGATTGGCGAACGGCAGCAACAGAAGATGTGTCGTTCCAAACAGAAGTCAGTTCCTACAGTCCTTGTAGTGAGGATAGAAGCCCTGCAATACCCCTGCAGTAGAAGCTTGGGATCCATGAGCACCTATGCCAGTGCAACATCAGGCCCATGTAGGTATCGGGATGCTTGGGAAAGGCCGGCAAACCAGTTGGGAGCTTCCCCAGTCCTACTCTGTAAGCACGTGATGGAACAACAGTAGGCTGCCTGGTCACAACTACGGGCTTACAACCCTGGTTCCGTTTTAGTTGACTATCCATACCTACGCTCAACTCAGGCCAAGGCACACTTATCAATAGGGGAATAGAGCCCCAATTGGGGGTACTGGAAGGGTCCTGGTAAGAATCTGCAAATACCTACTTGGCCTAGATGGTGTAAACCGTCGGCACCTGCAAGGAACGGCCTTTAGTCCCTGACGGCGGACACCCTCAACCCCGGAAGCACCTACCGTACCCTGAATCTTCGGTTCCTGCCATCGTTCAGGGAAGTTACCAAAAAGGGGTGTTACATGAGTATTATATACCCCTTATTAACCTACCCATGCCGCTTACATGGCCTTGTATACCCCTTATTGGAAACTCCTCTCCTGCAATTGGTCCTACATTGTTGTTCCCCCAAACCCCTGTTGCAACGATTCTTACCTCCCGAGTGAGTACGTAGACCCTCTGCATCAGCGAAGGATGCGGAGTGGCTTTGGCCACACCCAGGCCCTCGTCAGGTTTAAAGCCTTAGGTTTCAGGATCTTGGATTCAGGGCTCCGGGTATTTTAGGGTTCGGGATTTGGGGCTAGGATGTGGAGTTACAAGTTCCTTGAAGTTGGGATGTGTACACAGGTTGTTTGGGCATGTTTTTTTGGATTGATCTGCCGTAGGCCTGCTGACAAGCAGAGTTTGGACCCTGCCAGTCATGTCCAGATAGCCTGTGAAGCTTTTGTTGTGTCACCCTTCCTTGTAAGATCAGAAAGCAGAAGCACAAGTTGGATACTGCCCCCATGTCACCGCAAACTGTGCCCCAACGCCCTAAACCCTAAACTCTAAACCCTCAACCTGAAACCCTCTATGAATGGAGCAATATCATCAGTGTCATACCCTGCCTAAGGGTCTCACGTATGCCTGGAGGGTGGGGGGGCAGTTGCTAGAGCCTACTGTAAGTGTCCGTGTACCCTGCTGGAATTACTACGGCTGATGTTTAAAAACCTGCGTGAGCTTAGTATACAACTGTACCAGTATTCCCAAGGAATATAACACGGTCACGCAGGATTTCTAGTATCCATCCTAGTAGCAGATCCCAAGTACCCTCAGGAAAGGCACGAGGATGCCCAAGCCATACTTCTAAGGGTTTGGGTCTGAGAGTGGTCCGGATTCTCATGTATTGCATCCGAATGCTTGGTTTCAGCTCACTATAACAAGGGATAACACGGCCAAAACCCAAAAATCGCCTTAGCCCTTAAAAGCTTTGAATGTCGACTCTTCACTACAAGGAATAACACGCCCTAACCCCTAAAGCGCCCTAGTCCTAAAAGCTCTGAAAAGTCATTTCCTTTCCGAGCCCATACTGTACCGTGAGTTTAAACTCGAAACTCCAGAGCTTCAAGCCCACACCCTAAAATCAGACTTTAAGCCCTATAACCCTGAAGCCCTAAACCCCAACTCCCTAAAACCCGCAAGCCAAAAAAACCCAAAGCCCTGGAGCCCTAAAACCCTAAAGCCCTAAACCCCCCAAACCTTAAGCGCTTCAACCGCAGGCTTAGGCCTGATGGGACGTCTTGCTGTCCAGCTTTTACCACAGCTAGCGCTGCTACTGCCATGGCTTCCTGGCTTTAGATTTCGCAGGTCATTTAGGGCAGCGAGTTTAGGATATGGATTTAGGGCTTGGGGTAACGGTTTAGGGTTTGGGATTTTGCGGCTTTTAGGGCTTCTCAGGTTTAGAGTTCAGGTGTTTAGGGCGGCTGTTGTTGGTGGGCCTCTAGCGCCTGCTGCCCAGGCTGAAGACAGATGTTGCATTTCCTCTTTAAGTGCAAGCTGCCCTACATGCTCAATTCTATGGAAAAACTCCGTATCATCACGCTCCTCTCTGCAGGTTCGAGTTTAGGGTTTAGACTTCAATGTAGGGTTGTGGAGTCGATGAGTTTAGCTATTTATCTCGAACCCAGGGTCCCCCTACTTTGAGGGTCACTGGAATTCACGATGGGCATGGGGCTGCTGCAACAAAGCATTATTGGTAAGCTATTCGGTTGTTGCAAAGTTGGAAGTAGAATTGATAAGATTTCCTGAGTTGGGAGTTCTGCAAAGTTACATCTGTAATGGTGCGTTATCCAAATTATGGTCCATTCTGAGCACCCCGAGC